ATAATAAAATATCTAATAATCTCAATTACTAATTCTCAGAAAATTAAGTAATATATATATTCAATAATTTTCAAAAAAGAATAGTTAAAGCAGAGAAGCAAAGAAACAAAGCTTGATATATTAATATTTTGAATATTTTAAAAAAATATTATTTTAATAAATATATAATCTGTTTAGATATAAACAATCTATAACTTAAAAGAAAGGTTAATTATTTAAAAATAAATATAAAGTCTATATTTATATAAAATAAATTAAATAATAAAATTATATCTTTTTTTATATGCTATCTAATCTTTTAAATATATTTATATAAATTTTAAAAATCTAAATTATTAAAAAGTAGAAAAAAAGAAATATTATCTTTCTTTAATTAATAATTATAGCTATTTTTCTTAGATATATATTATAAAATTATAAAGATCTAAAAATATTCAGATATAATTAGATATCTGATTTTAATATATAAAATATTAAGTAAAGAAAATACTTATAATAATTTAAATTAATAATATAAAGAAGTTTATTATCTTAATTTTTTAAAACTAATTTAAAAATATAAAGTTTAAATTTATTAAAACAGAGATATTAATCTAAAATAATATTATTAAATAATTTTACTATATTATTCTGAAAATTATATATACTCTATTAATTAAATTAAAGATTAAATAAATATATAAAAAATAGATTATAAATATAATTAATTATTTAAAAAATTATATAATTATTATAAAAAATTTAAAAAGAATTTACAAAACATTAAAGATTTTATTTAAACTCTAATTTAATTATTTATCTAATTTTTGATATCTATAAACTTAAAAATATAAAATATTATATTAGGATAACAATATAAGTAAGCTTAAAGATTATATATCTAAAGAAATATTTCTAAAATATAAAAAAATAATAAACAGTATATTATTATACTAAAGAATAGTAATATAATAAGATTTATTATAAATTCTAAATTTTAGAAAAAAAAGTTAGAATACTGTTCAGATATTAATTAGATATTTTATAATTTATTTAAAAAATAATTATTATTCTATATTTTATTAAATAATTTTACCTTTTTAAATAGCTCTTAATTTATAGATTCAAACTTAAAATCTATTATAAATTTTTAATTAATAATTAAATTAATTAATTTAAAATTTTTAAAGTAATCAACTGCTACAGCTAATAAGAATAATTTTATTTTTAATAATAAAAATAATAAGAATAATTCTACTATTTTAAATAATAATATTAAGAATAAAAAAAAGATTATAATTTCTAAGAATAAACTTTCTAAAAAAGAAAAATAATCAAAGATTAAATTATTTTAATTTAAATATAATAAATTATATATAATAGCTGCGAGACTCTTAAAACATAAATAATCTAAAAGAATAAATAATCTAAAAAATAAATAAATAATAAATAAAAATATTAAATACTGTGCTATAGAAAAAAAATATATAAATAATTATTTGATATAATATATTAAAATCTTTTTTATTTTTATTTTTAGATTTTAGACAGACAATTATAAATATAAAATAGTTAGAAAAATTCTTATAAAATTAAATATTTAAATATCTAGATTATATAATAAAATAATTAAAAATAAGATCTATAAATCTAAATAAGTTAAAATTATATAGAAGAAACTTATTATATTAATTAATTTTAAAATTTAAAACATTATCTTTAAAAAAAGCAGAAAGAATTATCTTCTTTATATACTAAATTTTTAATATTAAGACTAATATTAATAAAACAATTAATTAATTTAAAACAAGATTAATAGCTAGAGAAAATAAGTAATTAAAAAAAAATTTTAATAAAATACTTATTCTGATATTTTATTTAAATAATCTTAGAATTATTATAATAATATTAATAAAGCTGAAATATAAAGTCTATTTTTTTAAATATATTAAATATTTATATTAATTTAAAGCTAGATAAGTCTAACTATATAAAAATATCTTAAAAATTTTAAGAATTTAATTATAAAATAATTAAGAATACAGTACTAGAACAAAAACAATTTTTATATAAATTTAGATAATTAGCTAATCTATAAAATTATAAGATAATTAATTTTTTTAAGAATATTAGATTTAAACTGAGTACTATTAATTCTAGTATTTTTTCTTAATATATAAAAAATAATTATTAATCTATATATTAATAATATTTTTATCTTTAATGATAAAAAAGCCGAAATTTATAATATTAAAAAAATTAAAAAGATTTTATTTTATAAAATTATAATTAACTCTAACTTAATTTAAAAGCTTCTAGATATTAGATTTATCTAAAAAAAATAAATTAATTAAGATAAATTAGAAAGCTATATCAGATAGATTTTTAATAAATTTAGAATAATAGATTATAAATTTATTAGTATATTAATAAAATTAAATATTTAATTTAATATTAATAATCTATAATTAAATAAGAAGAATTATAAAGTATTTAAAATAATAATTAAAAATTAATATTCTTAATATATAAAATAAGATTAAATATTATATTCTTAATTAATTAACTATTCTAATATTTAATCAATTTAAGTCAGATTTATTTATTTACTATAAAATATATCTCAAAATATTTGAAAGTTATAAAGAACTATAGAATAATATTTCTTATTAAAAAAATAAAAACAATATTTATTATATATATTAATTTAATATATATCAATATAAGATTAAAAAGATTAACTATTAAATATATAATAATAATCAATAATTAATTTATTTATTAAATTAGTAAGAAATAAGTTATTATTATTTAAAATCTTATTAAAGCAGAGTATATTACTACTAATAAAATAATTAAATAAATAATTTAATATAGATATTTTTTATATATAATCAGGAAAAATACTATATATTAAGATATTTTTATTATATTATATAAAAATAATTAGAGAGTTATTAAGATTATAAAAATTTAATAAATTATTTATAAATAAAATATATCTTTATTTAATATTATATTATTTATAATTATATTATATATAAAAAGCTTTAAATTATCTATTTATTTATAAAAAATATAATAATAGATAAATTAACTAAAATATTTATATAAATTAATTAAATATATTTTATTAAAGATTTAAGACTTAATTAAATATATTTTATTAAAGATTTAAGACATAATTAAATAAGCAGAAAAATTAGTTTTAATATATTAATATATCTGAATTTATTTAGATATTTAATACAGCTTTAATTTATATTTTTTTAATTATTTTAATTTAAAAATTTAATTATATTTTAAATAAAAAATAATATAATATAGCTAGATTTATAAATAAAAGATTATTTGATTTTTAATTTATTAATAATAAAATATAATTATTTTATCTTTAGCTGAGTAAGTATATATTCTGATAAATTTTTTAAAAAAATCTATTAATAATTATTAAATAAAAATTATTAAATACTTAGAATATTAATATTATAATTCTAAGAAATATTTCTTTTATTTTTTACTAATAATCTATATCTGTATCTTAGATTATATATAAGTAAAGTATTCAGAAGCCCCTACACCCCTGAGAATCCACTTTACTTTATAATAGAGAGAATAAAGAAGTTATTAATTTATTAGATAAACTTTAAATAATAAGTACTGGGCTTATAATCTCTTAAGAAAACAGTTAAATAAAGCAACAGAAAAGATAGTTTGATTCAGATAGAAGAGGCCAGGGATCGCGGCGACTAAGTAGAAGATGCGGTCACGTGGCCCCGGAGCGGCCAACCGCCAACAATATTTCCTAAATCAGTAGAGATATAATACTGTTTAAGATTTCAGATTTATATAGGAATACTACATAAAAAAGAAGTATATTGAGCCGGCTACTATGTTGGGCCGGCAGGGTTATATTAAATGCGACCTCGAAAGACTAAGTGAAGGGTTTAGTTATCGCTTATTATAGCTAGTTTAACTTCCCTAGAACTTCTCTCTATTATTTCCCATCTACATATCATCAGAATAGGAGGACAGTTATTTGTCAATAGCTTCGGAGTATCAGCTTTCTTACCGTCATTTTATTCCCCGACAAGCGTTGCCTCCCTGCAACATCCCATAGCACAGCAAACCACCCTTACCGCCCGCTAGTATATTAGTCAGTACCTACCAAGGTATCCAGGTGGGTGGTGAAACGCTCCCTCAACGGTAATCGCAGAGAAAGAAGGGAGGTTGTTCGTGGCAATAACTTGTACCCTCGTGCTCAGTAAGGTGGTATATTAACTAACCGGACAAGAACCAGGGAAGAGGAAGAAGAGGGGGGGTTACAGCTCGGCGTGGTCTGAAAAAAGCTCAGCGTGGTCAAGCACTAAGTACAGAATAATCCTTTTCTATCTTAATCACAATGAGCTTTTGCCAAGAACAGCTCAGTGTGATCTAAACCGGGCAGTGAGATGACCGGCAGAATTTTAGACCACGCCGAGCTTTTTTCAGACCACGATGAGCTGCAACCCGAGAAGAGGGGCCCTAAAGGTGTCGGAGGGGCCACTCCACCAATGGGGGCAGGAGCCTCTTACCAGGAAGTACTTTGTAGTAGTGGTAACTAGTTAACTACTCTGCTCTGTATTAGATAATCTGTATTAGTGTGTACTAATACCGAATACTGTAATTGTGGAGTAGATTGATTACCTGAAAGCCCCCACCTTGTTTTCCCCACTATACTATGTAGTTCTACGGGAAAATAACGCAACCAACATGGAAGTACTTTAGGTACCACAGAATAGTACTACTAAGGTAGACTATCTACCTAGTACCTACCCAGGTGCCTAATTGACTTGTCAACTTGTTCTCACTTCCTTCCCTGCTAGGCATTACGTCAAGCTTGTCGCCTGCTTGGCATTCTTGGGCTGCCACATTATTCTTGGAACTTTGAGTTATTTCCATGCACGTGTCCTGACAGTCTTCTAATAGAAATAACCCTTCAAAATACAGCGGTGGCATCAAGCAAGGAGAACATTCCAACAATGAATGTACTCAAACTTCAGAGGTATGCATCTCCCCATTTGCGTTGGTAGGGGCGTAAACTCGTGCTTGGTCATCATCTCACCGGCTCTAGACTATTTCCGCAGCTTGATCAATCTGAGATTTTCTCTCTTCAGGACGCGTTCAGGAAGTTGGACATCGATGATAGAGGCTATCTAGACGAAGCTACTGTTATTAAGGCTACACAGCAGTCAGAACGAAAGCCTTATGATGTCGTCCGACAGGCGTTAAAGGAGGTTGAACTTGACAGCTCTCGCCGGGTAGAGCTTGAAGACTATGTGGATGTCAGTATTCTTCTTCATATTTGCCCTTCAATGATATATCTAACAGAATACTACAGCTTATCACTAAACTCCGTTCCCCACCGACGCAAAATACCTCGGGTGGAAATCCAGCTCATGCAACAGTACTGGCAGGAAATGGGCAAAACCCATCGCGGCATGTCTCCAGAGGCAGCATAGGGGGCAAAATCCATGTTAAGGGTTCATCCTCAAATGTAACACATACGATTAACGAGGATGAAAGGACGGAATTTACCAGACATATAAATGCTGTTCTTGCGGGTGACTCGGATATTGGTCATCTCTTACCATTCCCCACCGATACCTTCGAGATGTTCGATAAATGCAAGGATGGCTTGGTTCTGGCGAAATTGATCAATGACAGTGTTCCAGATACGATTGATGAGCGGGTCCTCAACAAGCCCGGGAAGAAGATCAAAGACCTTAACGCCTTTCATATGACCGAAAACAACAACATTGTGATCAACTCAGCCAAGGGCATTGGCTGCTCAGTTGTTAATATAGGAAGTGGCGATATCATTGAAGTGCGCGAACATCTAATCCTAGGCTTGATCTGGCAAATCATCCGCCGCGGCCTCCTCGGCAAGATTGACATCAAGCTCCACCCCGAACTGTACAGACTCTTAGAGGAGGACGAAACTTTGGAACAATTCCTGCGTCTCCCCCCGGAACAAATCTTATTACGCTGGTTCAATTATCACCTAAAGAATGCAAAATGGAACAGAAGGTATGCCAGAATTCCGGTCAGCGTTTTAACAAGTGAAAGAATGCGAAATACCCCGGTCATGACAGTAGCAGAAACTGACCGACTGCCTCCTGCCACCTCAGGGTAACAAACTTTTCTTCAGACGTGAAGGATGGTGAAAATTACACTATTCTCTTGAATCAATTGGCTCCAGAAATCTGCTCTCGCGTGCCTCTTCAAACTCCGGACGTCATCCAGCGGGCAGAACAAGTTTTAGCGAATGCAGACAAGTTGGGCTGTCGGAAATTTCTATCACCTTCTTCCCTAGTTGCAGGGAACCCTAAGCTAAACCTTGCCTTTGTAGCAAATCTGTTTAACACCATCCCAGGCCTCGATCCAATTACCGAAGAAGAAAAGCTTGAAGTCGAGGATTTCGATGCCGAGGGAGAACGAGAAGCTAGAGTTTTTACTCTCTGGCTCAACTCACTTGATGTACAGCCGTCTGTCAATTCTTTGTTTGACGATCTTCGAGATGGAACTGCCTTGCTGCAAGCTTATGATAAGGTTATTCCCGGCAGTGTCAATTGGAGACATGTCAATAAGCCACCAGCTTCTGGGGGTGAAATGATGCGATTCAAAGCAGTCGAGAATACCAATTATGCCACGGAGCTCGGGAAACACATTGGCTTTTCTCTTGTGGGTGTTCAAGGAGCTGACATCACTGACGGTCAACGAACTCTCACTCTGGGCTTAGTTTGGCAACTGATGCGACGGGATATCACAAATACACTTTCAAGTCTAGCCCAGCGCATGGGAAAGCATGAGATGACGGATTCTGAGATGGTTAAATGGGCAAATGAGATGTCGCGACGTGGTGGTAAGACTTCGTCAATACGGAATTTCAAAGACCAGTCCATTGGCTCGGGTCTTTTTCTCCTCGATGTACTCAGTGGTATGAAGAGCAGCTACGTCGACTATGATCTGGTCACTTCTGGTCGGAATGACGAGGAGGCTTATGCGAACGCTAAGTTGAGTATCAGCATAGCAAGGAAGCTGGGTGCTACTATTTGGTTGGTACCAGAAGATATTTGTCAAGTGCGTTCTCGCTTGGTGACCACGTTCATCGGTAAGCTTTGGGCATTCTACTGAAAAGCTTTTGAATTCTAACTTTTGAAATAGGCTCTCTCATGGCAACCTATGAAAAGATGCAGTGATGATTCGGCAATTATTAGGTTTATTGTTGCGCTGTTATTGTTACTATTATTATGTGCTTCAACTTCCTGGAAGAGTCTGCGGCATGTCTTGGTGCATCAAGTATAAAAAATGAATTCAAATTGCACTAGTGATCATTATACCCATAGAGAATTAAAGGTCTGACTATAGAGAGTAGATGCATGAGGTATATATTATTGAAGTAAAACTATCTATAAGGCATGAACCTGCTAATAGCAGTATAAGTAGAACATACGCAAACCAGCGGCTGCAATATTGTCACAACTTTTATGCCAAGCAACACATCACGTCCAAACACCTAATAAACTTAGAAATCTCAGCCTATCTCCAGACCGTGCCATTATTACCCTATCCGAACATCAACAGGTGCCCAGTACCGAACGAAAATCAGCACGTTATAATTAATTGATTCTCTCAATCAGGCATGCAATCCATTCGTATTATCCAATGAGCCACAAGGTAATTTTGAGATGAAGGTCAGTTAATATTACAAGATTCCTGTTCAATTGTGAGGTTCCTTTCGGCGTCAGTATAATTTTACCAAGATAGGTTACAAATACTACAAGTCGTTCGTGAAGCGAGGTTGCAAATCAAGGAATTCGACCGGTCGTGAAGGACGGGGAGTCAATGACAATCGACTTAAATTAGATTTCGAGAAGACGGATACCGAATCGTTGTATCATCGTGACGAGGGCAAAGACGACCCAGATCGGCGGTACGACAAGGAAAGGAAATGAAGGCCCGCTCGACGTCCGTTCGGTTATGATTCGAGCTGCTGACCACGATAAATACCAACGGTGAACAATAAAGCCAATACCCCAATGTCTCGTATCCTTGCGCTACCACTTCGACGCTCGAAGGTCTTCCCTCCCATCCCACCATATTGCTAAGGAAAGGAGCAATTCGAAAAGACTCAAACAAGAGCAAACACAAAAGGAGCATTAAGGTTTAAGACAATGAGCATCGGAACTGGTGAATAAAAGCAAATTTTGGGAGGGAGAAGGGGGCGGGGGGGGGGGGGGGGGTTGTCTGTAAAGCGCACTAATATTCAACAGTGATGGGGCATCAGAAAAAATCCAGGTCGATTACCGGTGAGCCTCGCGAAAGTGACTGGGCTTCATGTGCTAGCAACGAATTGAACCTTGAGCATGACTCTGCATAGATACGAGGTCTTCTGACTGCATGTACTGGAGATGACTAGTGGTTCATGAAGCCAAAAACCTACTCGGCTGTATCCAGCTCATCATGAGCGGTGGTCAGGGGTTCTAACGGAACTATTGCGGGGGAGTTAGCGTTATCTCCAGCTTCTCTAGATGCATAGATGCGCAAACCTTTTCTATCTTCACCGTTGGGCTCATTCTCACGCTCATCCTCGCGTCGTTCACGATCGTCATCACGGCGCTCCCTATCGTCCTTAATATCACGGTCTCTCTCATCGGGGCTACGAGAGCGATCACGTGAACGCTCTCGGTCGCGGTCACGCCGATCATAATCGCGGTCACGGCGGTCATAGTCGCGGTCACGGCGGTCATAGTCGCGATCATGTCGGTCATAATCGCGGTCATACCTGTCATCCCTACGTGGTGAGTAGTCACTACGACCACGTCTAGGTGAAGGAGAGCGACCACGACGCGGAGGAGTACGGTCGCGTCGGCGATCGCGGCCAGAGTCAAAGCGCCAAGAAGCAGATGGAGGAGTCCGGGCCCACTTTTAGAAGGTCAGTACAGTGTCTAGAAGCGGATTTGGGGATATCATCTGCTCACCTCGATCTTCAACAGATCATCTCGTCCAATTCGCTTGTTATGCATCTCATGATATGCGTCATCTGCATCGCGGCGACTCTCATATTCCACAAATGCAAACCTTAAGCCATGAGCAAAATTCGGGTACGAAGGTTGCTTAAAACCTACAGTCTGCTGGAAGGGGTACGCGGTGCTGGGATATCACACCGAACAAGACGTCCATATCTAGGTAATTGTTAGAAAATCACCCTACTTGTCTCAATTCCTATAAGCATGGTGTAAGGCAATCAGAGAAAGGTGTATGCAAGTAGCAGAAGAATCTTCCGGAAGGATCCCCTCAGGGAGATTCCTCCAAGGCAGGTTGATGGAACGAGCAGGTATCTTTGAAATAATGATAGAGAATCGCTTCGACGTCGATATTGCGAAACCCAGCTGAGGTATATTCCGAAAGGACACGATTCGTATGGTCATTGTAGCGCGTAGAATCGACGAGCGGAACGTACCGTTCGAATTCGTAGGCAAGGTCGCGAGCTCGGGTCCCGTGCCCGAAGCCAGTCACATAAAGCGTAGTACCAGGACGAGACATCGTTGAGTTTGTCAGTACAGATTGTATATTGGAATGGTGGACTTGACTGGGAAAACAACGATGGTGGATTCTTAAGAGTGAGGGAAGGCAGAAGAACGGTTAGAATTGCAAGGAAGCAAGAGACAATTCTGAGGAACTACAGGTAAGCTTCTATGCCATAAGCGAAGTTTCACTACTAATAGGTTGTTAACTAGTAGTAGTTTGTGGCTGACGTCCTTCCCATTAGATAATACATGGGGGATGTAAGGTACGGAGTAGTTACGGAGTACCTAGGTACTGCGGAGGCGGTGAGCGGGGGGCACTTGCCACAAGGAGTGGTTGCCTAATGATGGCTGGCCTCTTGATGTAGCCACTCGTCGCCTGCGGTACATACTTGTCCGACCAACACCCGCAAAGGTGTAACAGGTCGACTACAGATCCACAGATCATCTGATCTTAATATATGAAAATTATTTAAATAATCTTATTAAGTAATTTTCTAGATATGCTGACAAAAAGTAAAAATTTACAGGAAGTAATTATTTCACTATAATCTATACATAAAAAGTTCTTGTTATATATTGATGCCGCCGGAGGTGATACCGCCAGAAGGAGTACATAAGTTACTGCCTGTTATGAATTTCTTGTACGAATCCTCCAAATCCCAAGATGCTTGACAATGCCTGCGCGATATATTAAAATAATAATAAAGAAAGAAATAGTGCTGTATAAAAAGAGATAAAAAATAAAATTTAATTATTTTTATTATTATTATTTTTTATTAATTTGTTCTATATTAATAATTAATTATTAGATTAATATAATCTAATTCTTGTTCTGAAAATTGAAAATAATTATTATAAAGAGAAGATCTCTTGAAGATTACGAATTATTTAATATATAAAAATAATAAGCTTCTTTAATCTAATAATTTATAATAATTAAAATATTATTTAAAAGTTTATATAAGCAGCTGTAGTATATATTTTATAAACAGATTTAAATAATTAATAAATATATTTTAATTAATAATAATAAAATGATTCTTAAATATATCAATAAAATTTAGAGAACTATAAATTCTTTTTATCTCTATTTTTTTATATTCTCTCTAATTAGTATACTTATATTATTATTTATAAAAATAGTAAAAATAATTATTATCTCTTACACTAGTGAAAATTTATTAATTATAAAATTATTTATTTTTAGATATTTTTAATAAATTAATATTTTATATTTCAATAAATAAAAAAGTAAAATAGAAATATAGTTTCTCCATTATTAATCAAGATCTATTATTAAATAATTAAGTATTTTTTTTAGTTCTTTACAGAAAGTTTGTATAATCCCAATTGCCGGGCCTACCTGGGTGTTTAATTTATTATACTAAAATATATATATCTTTATATAGATTTAAAATATAACTTTAAAATTAATATATATAATAATTTAATAATTTATCTTATTAAAATTATTTAATTTAATAATTATAAAACTTTAATATTTTATATATCAGCTATATATCTTAATTATTATCTTGATTTTTTTTAATATATTATTTAATATTTTTTCTTTTATATAAATATTAATTCAATTTTATAATATATATAAAGTCTTTTAAAGAATATTTTTTTAATAATATTCTTATTAAAAATATTTTTAATTAAGAGATTAATATTATATTTATATATTGTTTTTCTAAAACAAAATTATATATACTTAATTAGATTAAGATTAGATAAATAAAATAATTAATTTATAATTTTTAAAAAATAATCTTAAAATTATTTCTTAATTTTATATACAGAGTATATTAAGATATTATCTTATATAAATATAAATTTATTTTCTTTAATTTTTATATTAATTTCAAATAGAAATTAATTAAATATTTTAAAATAGAAATTTATAATATATCTAAACTTCTTAGCTTTAAAATCATAATTTAAATAAATTAAATCTGATTAATTTAGACTTTATATTACTATTTAAATTATAATTTAAGAATTCTTATTTTTTATATAAGATTAAATATAGATTTTCTTTTATTTTTTATTATATATATTAAATTTAAAATATTATTAATTATAATAATTAGTTCTGAGTTTAATTAAGTATTTATCTAATAATATAATTTTATATTAATTCTTTAGAATATAATTTCTATATTATATAATTTATATAAGGCTTATAAGCTATTTCTTGATATACTTAAATAATAATTTAAACTATTTTTAAGTCTGTTATTTATTATATTCTGATTTTTTAATAATCCAGATTATTAATACATACCTGATTCTTGAATTAAGATTATTTATAAATATTTAATAGATTTAAAAAGAATTTCTTTTTAATAAGGTAAATAATATATTATATATCTTTATTAATAGTCTTTTTTAAATAATCAGAATATAGTTAAGAGATATTATTAAATCTTAAAAATATATATTTTATTATTAAATTTAATAATTATTAATAAAAAAAGATAAATAGATTTAGGTTTTTTATTAGTGATATAATATTCTTTACTAAGATCTTATTATTGTCTAAAAGAGCTTTAACTAAAATTATTATTTAGTAAATGTAATATTATTATATCATTTCTATTATTAGCTAATTTAGTAATAATTGTAAAATATTTAATAATTATTTCTTGCGTAAATATAGTACTAGTATATTATTTTTATTACTAATTAATTTATCAGCAGCCGCGGAATACTTAATATTTCTTTTTCAATATTAAAATAAAATTTAAAAAAATATAAATACTTAATTCTTTTATTATTTTTCTGATATTTATTCTTTTTTTATCGTCTTTTAAATTATCTGTCTGTTACTTATCTGCTTTTATTTTTTATTATTTATTAATTAATTTATTTACATTCTTTTTTCTTTTTCTTTAATTCTTAATATGTCTTATTAGAATAAGTTTTATTAACTCTTAAATATTTTCGGCTTATCTTAAGGCTTTATCGAAAAAAATCTAAGTAATTATTTTTTTAAGATTTATTTAATAATTAATATCAAACATAAAGCTTAATTAATTTTTTTATTTTTTGTCTTATTACTTTCTATCTATTCAATAACAAAAATTAAAAGATTAATTTATTAATATTATCTGATACTGGCAGATAATAACTAATAAGTAAATATTTAAATATTAAATATATAATAATTACTACTTTATTAATTAAAGTTCTGAATGAATAGAATTAATAATAATCTTAAAAGCTTTATTATTATTAATCAAGTAAAGTCTGAATACTTTCTATAAATAATTATTTATTAATTTATTTACCATTTTTCAGAATTGGTTTTTTTCTTATTTTTCTTATAATTATTCTTCAAAACTAGATTTTTATTACTTTATTATATCTATATAATTATTCTTCAGGACTTAATTGTTAAGTTTTATTTTGTATTATCTATTTAGAAATTAACTAATTATCTGTAATTATCTTGTTATTATTATTATTAATCTTAGGCCTGGCTTTTTATACTCTTTGGTTTAGACTTTAGAGTGGTTAACAGCCAGGGTAGGTTAATGGTAACAGTTAGGAAATTCAGATAACAGTTAAAGTATTTTATAAGAATTAAAATAAATATATAATTATTATTTAAATATTAAAGTATAATCTAAACTAGATAATTATATAAGTAATTCTTAAATTATATAATATATAGATATTACTATAAAATATTTAATAATTAAAGATTATTATATAAAATAAGCTGAGAATTAATTAATTATATGTTAAATATAATCTAGCTGTATGAGATAGTATTTAAAATATAATTTATATATAAATATTAGATATTTATTTAAAATATAATTTATATATAAATATTAGATATTTATTTAAAATATAATTTATATATAAATATTAGATATTTATTTAAAATTTAATTTGAAAAATTGTGTTTTATAATTCTTTTAGATCTAAATATACTTTTTAAGAGATTGGTTTTTAACCTGTATTTTAACTGTTAGCCACTCTACTTTGGTTATTAAAATGGTTATAGTTATAATTATAATTTTTAACAAAATATATTAAGTTATTTTATAATATCTTCTAAGATCTTTTTCAATTATATATAATAAAAAGATCTTATAAGGCTTTAGCTAATTTCTAAATAATTTAAATATAATTTATTTATTTTATATAATAATATAATCTTTAATCTCTACTTTTATATTATTATACCTTATTTTAAATAGCTTTACTTGAATACTTATTCTCTCCTTTAATTTAAATAATAAAAGATTGCTAGTTATTTATTTATTGTAACAATAATCTATCTATTATTACTGATTATAATAGATTAATATAAAATATATTATAAATTTTAGTAAAAATATTTAGTTAAATAAATTAAATTTCTTATAATTTTATAATATGTTTTATATCTGTTTTATCTAACTTCTTTCTAAGCTGATTAATTCTAATGTTTTATAAATTTAATTAAATAATATTATTTTCCTGATATTTTAGTATAGATAATTAAAGTTTAGTAGTCTATTTTTAGCTTTTTATTATATAAAGGCTAAAGATACTTATACTTAATTACTAACTTTTTGAATTATATAAATAATAATTTTATTTATTTATATTAAAATCTCTAAAATATTTTATATAGTATTAACTAATCTTTAATTAGATTAAAGATATAAATTGCATCTATAATTAAAAACAAATAAAAATATTTTAATAATAATAAAAATTTATATATTAAAATCTAGCTCTATACAAGAAAAAAGTTAGATTCAGTTATATTAATTATATCATATATATATATATATTTAGATAGATTTTAATTATATTATTAATTTATTTAATTACTCCATTAGTCTCAAATAATAAAATATAAAGAAATATTTTTTAATTTCTATAAGATTACGCAATTTCTTTTTATAAATTATTATTTTGAATCTAAGATAATAATCTATAATATTCTTTTTATTTAAATATATTAATGTCGAATTATTTAGATACTAATTTCAATAATAATCTTTTTTA